AGCAATAGCTGAGGGTTCCTACAGAAAGTTCCCAGGAGCTATGAGGACTGAAGCCATCAACACACATAAATAAGCAAGAAGGAAATTAAAGAGGTGAGGATAACCCAAACACTGGAATAATCATATAAATAAAGGTGGATCACAGTGCAAGATTCAAAACAAGACACACTACAGGCATTTTCCCACTGCCAACATTCAGGGCTACTAGTTTCCTTGAGAAAGTGTCTTCATAAAAAAAACTGTGGCCCAGCTTTAAAAGAGGATCCAAATCTAAAAACAGCATCCCAGTTTACTTGCCTGGAGAGGGTCAACTGACCCAAATGAAGACCTGCCCCAACAAGAAGTTTCCAGAACCACCAGGCTGGTTATTGTTAACTGCTATTAAGCCAGGAATGGGCTATGGTGAGAAAGGGTTCAGAGACTGTTGTGTTCATGGCACCACTTCATGCAGATAACTGGAAGCATCAGCTGCAGGATGCACAGGACTTGCAACACTACTGCCAAAGGTGGCCAGGGTATCCATGAAATAGTGCATTGCCCAGGCAGAGCAGCTGTTTAACACCAACCACTACCCTATATTGATGCTTATAGGAGCTATATAGGTAGATCCCAAACCTGCAATGACATCTAGGCATGCACAGAAGTCAGCAGAAATGGAACTTCTTCATAAGGTAAGCCCTGGAGCTCCAATGCTGCAAAGCTCTGAAGCACACCCTAGGCTCAGCAGGATCTGAGCACATGCTAGAGCACCTCATCATCCAAGACCTTAATTCACAATAAACCAAGTACTATCAGAGAGAGCTGAGCTGCCTCGAGAAAGCCTGCACTTCTTCCTTTGTGAGCTACTGGTCTTTGGAAGATTATAGTAAAGCTGTTCCAAGAAACCAAAATGATCATTTCCTGCTGGAGCTCAGTATTTAGCTCTTGGGGTGGCACAAATTACAGCATCCTTATTTTTATTTCAGTATTTATTTGAAGGGAATGTACAACAGAAATCTGATGCTGGCTGTATTTTAAACCCACGAGCACTCTGTAAACAAGTTAGACCCAGAGAGATTTGCATGTTTCTTCTTGAAACATAAGGAGAAGCAGCGAGACTGAATAATTGAAAACAGTTATGGGGACTTCATTTTCTTGTTTTTCCTGGGATTTGCTCTTGGGCTGGCTACTCCCAACTTTAATACCTGGCAGGGATGATCAACTATTTGGAATCTCATTTGCATTACAGTTGATATGCGACAGCTTTCCATGGGGAAATCACTGCCCCCGCAGAGGTCAACAATTTGCAGGAAAAAAGGGTAGAGAGGACATTTTTCTTAAAGTGCAGCTTTTAAAAGGGGTCAGAGCAGAGTGCTTAAGATCAAGGATGAAAACATAAATATATCTCAAAAAACACATTACTGTGACATCTTTGGTAGCCTCTGGAAATGCCCTCAAACCCTTTGAAAAGCTTGACAATTACTGGCACAAACTTGGCTGGGTCTTCAAACACATGCCTATGGGGCACACTTCCCTTGGGGGGGGCACAGCAATCATGGGAGACAATGGCAAAATTCCGGTTACCTTCACTGGGACAGGTTGCAAGCACCAGCAGTGCTCATCCAAGCCAATGGGCTATTTGCTTAGCTGTTTGCCTAAGGCTTTGCAGGATTGGGTAACCCTTCAAACTGATGGTCGTATCTATGCAAACAGCTATGGTCCTGCAAACAGAGGAGAATGAAGAAAACCTCATTGAAGTGGATCAGTCCTGGTGCAGGCAGCAAGCTCACTGCAACTCATTAACTTCAGCGAGGCTCTGCCTTACTGACCTCTTTGCAGAATCAAGCCCCTGGCAGGAACATGTATAAGACGCAATGAGGATTTAGGTTAGGAAGGAATAAAGCCAAACTGGAATTTGTGCAGAGTATCAGTGGATGCTGTTCCCTCAACTGAACAAGCTTCCAGCTTCTAGGGTTGCTCACGTTACTGTTTAACGTGCCAGCATCAAGGATAAAAAGATCCTGAGGAAACTATTTGCACACAGCAGCTCTCTACAAGCACACATGCCCACCACAATGTCACCTGTGCCATCCCAGGCACTTGGGATCCCCCAGGACACAGAGTGACTGCAGGCAAAGCAGCCACATTTTGACCCTTGCCTACATTTACAAATAGCCAAAACCCTCCTGCAGGCACCACAGGGAAGAACTTCAATAAACACACAGGATGATGAAGGAAATACAGAAGGGTGAGGGAAATGGACATCTTAGCCCCAGAACAGCACCTCCAGCAACGTCTTCCCAGTGCTGCTAGGTACCAGTGCAGTGCTGGTGGTTCAGACACAAACACAGCAGCACCCATGCCTTGACACCCTACTTTGCAATGCCTACACCCCAGGAGGTTGGCTGAGATGCCACACAGCAGGGTATGGCCACAGGCAACAAACAGTGTGGATCCAAGACCTCCATCCAGGTTAAATGGCTCGATAATGCATGAAAAAGGGAGGTATATGCTGCCTGAAAGCTTCATCTGTGAACGGACCTGATGACAGCATACAGTGCAGATGTTTAAGGTTTTCTTTTATCATGCTGTAAAAATGTATATACAATTATGCCCAGTAAGCCTCCATAAGCAGACATTAAGTTCAAGGAATGAGAGGGCATCTTTATAACCACCCACTGAATTTCTATACATTTTGTGTCCTGCCCATGGTCTTAGGTTCAACAGACTAAATCCACACTGTGGCTTTAATTACCACTTGCTTAATGTCTTTATTCTGAGAAATATTTTCATGCTTTTATCAAAGTAGACTGTGTTTAATTAGAAGCAGACCTATAAAGCAGTTTGTTTCTATTGCCCTTTTCTCATGATAGCCCAAGTACTATTGCATAATACCCAGTATTTACTTTAGTTTCTTGCTTACACTTTTAACACTCATAGGTTAAAAATACAGTCAAAGGCTACTCAGTCTTGCAAAGCTTCTCCATGCCTATCAGCTCCCCAGTTAACGGCTGAGCTAACTAATATATCTTTAGCTGTGGAGTGTATAAAACTGACTTGGTATTGGTTACAGGACTCAAAAATCATTTGACTTTACCTTAGCAAGCCACCTGGTTAAAATAAATGGTCCCAGATCCATTCAGTATTCCCAGCATATTGTGAAAAGGCTCTGCCTGTTTCATTTTACATTGCTTAATAGGTTGCCTGGAATATTTCATGCTGAATCAATAAAGCTATATGTGCACAAATCGACCAAAATTATGTTTGTTAGTATTGCTAATATAAGTAGCTTCTCAATGGGTATTTTGTTCAGTTTACAGCAACTCTGGAAGACAAGACATGCAGAGCACTACCACCTTGCTACTGGTCAAGGAATGATTTTTGCTTAGAAATTAGGCCATTTCAAGAGAAATGAAATGAAATGAGAGGACTTGCATTGCATTGTAACTTACAGGGGAAGGTTTTCTGGAGGCTGTGGGAGATGCATGGGACCAGCCATTTACAAGTACCAAGCCTGGACTGGGATTTAGTCTGTTGAAGGGAAGCCTGAACAACTGGCTACAAAAACGTTGTTTATATATCCATCTATATTTATACATACCCATATATTATGATATTATAGGAACACACTGCATCAGCATAATCCTCAAGCACATTATAACTGGATAAAAACTGCATGATAATGAAGTCAGGGAGAGTGTGAGTACAGAGAGAGTAGGTACGGCCCTGCTCCCTGCACAGCTGAGACAGGAAAGGATGGGGATTTTGGTTAAATTAGCACCTGGGCAAACTATTTCACATTAAATGTTATTCTTTCTCTCTGCAAGCTAGGTTTCTCCCTGGGATTCACTAGCAGGGAGATGCTCGCACAGTGGGTTTGTTCACTGATGAACTCCATTAGTGTGTAGGATCAGGCCAGGGCCTGATCCTTCCCCATGGAAAAGTTAAAGGAAGGTGTTGTGAGAACCAGGCAAGGTCTACACATCACCGAAGAGCACAGCACCAGAAGCCAGCTCCTGCAGGACAAGCCCTCCTACATATAATACTACGAGCTCTCCACCACCTTCCCCATCCCTCACTGGCCAACTGGGATTCTGATTGGTGATACACAAACTGCCTCTCCAGAGCCAAGGCAAAGCGTTTATCTATGGGTACAGTGCAGACTCTGGGGAAAGAGTTAAGCATCCACAAAGACTCCAAAAACTGAAAAGATCAAGCTTCCCCTATCAAACCCTTCCCAGAAACAAACATTCATGCCAGTGGGGAAAGGACACATGCGAAGACCCTTTCCCTCTACAAAAGAAGCCAGCTGGAATATTCCTTGTTTAAGAAAATAGCATTGGGAGCTCTTACCTGGTAAAATTTGTGTTCCCAGCTACCAGCACACCTACAGCACCAGGCTCTCATGGGGCATCACGCAAGGGTGCAACAGCGGATTGGTGCAGATCATGGAAGTTTACAGCCAGAAGCAAAGAAAAGCCAAAAACCAAACACAAAACAAAACAAAAAATCCCCCAAAAGCCACAACATGACCCAAATGATATCCCTGCAATGGTTGTCTCATTACAAACAAGATGAGATGAAGGAGGAGTTTTTTACTTGCTCTGAGGCATCATATGGAGCTTAATCACAGGCAGTTACGTATATGGTTCTTTTGGCCTTCAATCAAGAGTGTCATTTCAGTGGCAGCTGCCTACGTGATGTAAGCCACCTGGGTGATCCAGTCCTTTGCCAATCACGGCCTTGTGCAGCTATTTTACAGCTGAACAATGGGGAAATCTGATTTCCCAGGCAATGAGGAGATCCTCTTGTAGTCCAGCAAGCACATTGAGTGAGACAGGATCGCGCACCTCTCCTCCAGTGGAGTTACAGGCAACCACAGCCCGGGCAGACCTCAGCAAGCAGCTCCCTCAGCTGATCTCGTCCTGCTATCATTTCCCGACGGAGCCCGTCTGTATCCTGATGACTTTCAGCACACTCCAAAAGCCACCGAGAGCCGAGAACAAGCTTGCAAGCACAGCGTGACAAGCTTGCAAGAACAGCGCGACACAGTGCAGCGTAGACTAAGGGGGATGTAGCTGCTACATGGAAAACAGTCAAACTTGGTGGGTGGAAAAGGTCTGAGCTGCTGGTGAGTAACAGGAGAAGCAGCTCACACTCAGGACACCAGCAAAGCATGGCAGCTCAGCTTTCCTTAATGCATTCCTTTTTGCTGCTCAAGTGGGGAAATCAGGAGGCAATCACTGCAAATCTATTAAATCTGGTGATTGAAATTATATCGGAAATAAAACGAGGTTGGGCTGAATACATTAAAGCTATTAGCAGGCATCTGGGTGACAGGCAGGGCTTTCTTTGGGAACCTTTTGGTTGCCGACAGCGGCATCAGGAGGTGTTTGGGGCCAAATTCCTCTGTCGGGTACGATTTTGACAGATTCATTAAGACCCATTTATTCAAACAGATGGTGGATGCTCTCTCTGCCCTGGGATCTTCACTCTTACCTAACTCCACAAGAGCAGGACACTGCATAGATACCGAGCACTCATTACATCACCCACGGCATGGACAAGGCAAGAGGCCCAGAAATGAAGAAAAAGAGGTTTTTTTTTGGCAATAAAAAGTGATGTTACACTGCTCCATGGCAACTTGCCTTCCCCTCTTCACAAACATGCGTGGGGACCAAACACCGAAAGGGAAGGGGGGGGGGGGGGGGGGGGGAAAAACCACCCATGAACAAACCATACACACGGAGGGATGGGGTACCAAGGGATGGCTGGAGGGGAAGCGCATCCACACCCGCAGACCCCCCCCCCCCTCACCCCAAACGCCATCCCCGAACCGCGCTGCACCCCGCTGGGGACCGCCCCGTCTGAGCCAGACGGTGGGGCTAGGGGAGCCCACGCTGTGGCCAACAGGTCTGTCACCCGTAGAGCACGGGTTGCCCCCCACCCGGGGACCGCGTGGAGCAGCTGATGCTCCCCATGCTTCGCTGTGGGTTCTCCCCGCCTCCTCCACTCACCTCTCCACCAGCCGGCTCCTCCGCCACAGGTTTACTCGGCTCCTCTTCCCCCCCCAACCCCCCACCCCCCTTCCTCTAGATCGCTCCTGACCGAGTTATTCAGAGGAGGATGGAGGAAGGAGGCAGAGAAAGAGAGATTCGAGAGGGGGGTGGGGGGGGATTAAATGAAATAAATACAATACAATTCAATTAAAAATGGGATGGAAATAGGTAGTGCCGAAGGCTAATGCCGAGCGCGGGGCGGCGCGCTGCGGCTCAGCCCCCCCATGGCCCCGCCGAGCCCCTCCGCGCCGCCCCGCGCTCCCCCCCGGCAGCCCCGGCCAGGGCGGCGGCGCAACGCCCGCCCGGGGAACACCCCCCTCCGCCGCGGCCCACCTTGCGGCAGGCCCCCGCTAACCCCTTCCTGGCCGGCACCTCCGTGCTTCGTTCATTTCCACCCCTCCACGAAACCCACGAGGGAAGCGGAGTGCAAGGGAGAGGGACCAGCTGCCCCGTCCATCCATCCATCCCTCCCTCCGGTCCTCCACCACATCCCACCTTTCCTCCCTCCCAGAGCTGTCAGGAAAAGACCACAACCATTATTATTCCACAACCCGCTACTCCACAATCCCTGTTACTCCAGCGACCCTCTTAGTCTACAACCCCAATTACTCCACCAACCACAAATAGTCCATGTTCACAGAATCACCCATCTGGGGCTGAGCCCCTTAGAAAGCTGGCTGCCTAAACGCTCTCCAGGTCTCTTTTAAGCACGTGTGTTTAAGCTGTTTTTTTCTGGAGTTTTTTAGAAATGAAGAAACCATGGCCGCACATCTCTCCTGTGCACACAGAGGTGTGCGTCTCTGAACCTGGTGTCCCAGTTCAGCCAGCATGCCTGACTTGCTCTTTGATACTGAGGAGGCCAGAGGAGCAGGTCAAGGAGCTCCAAATCACAGATGCTGGCAGCTCTAGGGGAGTCCTGACTTCTCCATAGTCAAAGAGCAAGTACTTGAAGGAGTGCACTCCTCCCGGCTTGCTGAACATCTTCTTAGGCTTCTCAGCTGTACTAAAACTACCGTCACAGAGCACTTGGGAGATACCTTTCCTGATCACAGTCATCACCAGAGCTTGGTGGAGCTGGCTTGCATTTCCAGCTCCCTCTCTGAAGGCACCAGAAGCACTGCCCAACATGGGCAAATCCACTGAAACAGCCATACCTGAGGGAAGCTGGACTGGGTGCTTACAGTGGGGTGAAATTTGGATAAAGGCAGCTTAGGCTAAATACATAAGGGATGTTCTCACAGTGAAAACAGTTGACTATAGAAGAGTCTCTAATGGGAACCAAGCACTCAACTAAAATTGCCTTGGTTGAATCTGGAAGACAGCCTGGATAGCCACCCAGCATCTACAGCAACACTCCCACAATCATGTAAGGACTGAACAAAGCCTTCAGAGTAAGCATTGATTTTATGGCTCAAAGGTGTTTAATTCACATCCTGCCTGTGTTGTCCTTTTCTGACATAAAATCCTTCCCCTTTCCTTCCTTTCAGTCTCATAGGCGTTGGAACTGAAGGAGCTTTAAGGTCCCTTCAACACAAACCAGCCTGTGATTCTCATTTCTTATTAATTCCTAAATACATCCAGAATATCTCCAAGCTTGTGTCTGCATAAATAAGACCAGCCAGTGGCCCTTTCCTCTTGTTCATTGTTAAAATACAGAGCTGATCACGGTAAACCCTGTTATAAGATGTCCCTGGTGGGGTGGCCAGGGGGTGGTGATGGAGGGCGTGCTTTCTGTGAGACCACCTCAGTAATCAGCACACAGACTGCCGCATCAGGCTCCTGAAAATGATATGGTGAGAGAGAATACAATACTAAGGTGACAAAGTAATGCACTGAGAAATTATGCCAGGCAGGCAGGTTGTTGTCAGAGACCTGCCTGGCTGCCTGTTGGGGACCATGCTAGTTGTCACTGTCAGCACTGAGCTGTCACTCTGATAACAAGTGGTTTATTGCTTGATGTAATAGGCTACCAAGCTGTTGTAAACCAGTCACCCTGATTACATGCGGGTACCACCCAGCTCACAGGAAGATGCTCAGCAAACCCACAGCTGTGTGGCTCCCAGTTTCATTTCAGGTGCCTTTTTTTGAGACTAAGGGAAGCAGTGGCCAAAGCATCAGGTGAGCACATGGTAAATATAGCAGCAATAAACACATCATCCAAGGGGAGGCAGGGTGACCCAGTGTGTGATTTAGAAGAGGCTAGTGTCTTAAAAATATCCCTCATAATATCTAGATGTAAGGCCTGTAGGGTCAAACTTAGACATAAAGAAGTCTTCTATTGAAATTACAGTTTTGCTTGGTTAGGGGTGACCCACTGTAATTAAAACTCAGATGGATCTGTAAGGCCACAGAAGAGAGGAGGGTCTGCAATTATCTCACACAGTGTCAGGGAGGGGGTTTCTAACCAGTCCAATTTTAAATGTCCTGACAAATACAAATACACATTCACCCACTCCAGGGGGAGGGTTCAGTAACACTTCACAGTCTAATAGGTCTCATGAGTGGGATAAGTTTTTCAACTTTCAGCCCACTTTTTTATACTGCTTAATTTCCTCCCATTATTTCTGATGAAACACTTTGTGGAAGGCCTACAATTGCTCCCTAGCCTGGATTTTCATGTTTTAATGGTGGTTAATTATTCCAGGAGAAACTTTTATTTTTACTTTTTATTCATCTTGCTTTTGCACTGGATGCTTTATCCTGAAGTTTAATTAGCGCATTTCGGAACTAAAGATCCAGATTAAATCACTGCTGAGCAAGCTCTGCTCCAGAATTTATGATCACTGTGCACAGCCTTTAGTATACCTGCCAATGCAGGCAACTGAGTAATCAATCGATGGGTTATTTGGGAAACGAGTGAGCCAGGCAGGTACTGCAGCCTGGCCTGGTGCTGCTGCTCTTCCTTTCCCTGCCACAGCAAGGAAGAGATGGATGAAGGTGATGATGATGGGTAGAAAGGGGCAGCCTCCACCTCTTTCAAACCCCAGTGTGGGCATTGCACATCCTGAAAGCAGGTCCGGGATGCAACAGCACTGGCAGATTCGCATCTCCAGCCCTACCATCTGCTTGAATCCAAGGTTTCATTTCAGCCTATTAGAGAGATTAGGGCTGGCTGCAAACATCAGATGTAGGCATAGGTTTGGCACCAGTCCATCTCCTTTCCTGCTGCCTCAAACACCAAGATTTTGATTCCAGCTCATCTGCAAATGCTAAAAATGATTCAGTTGTGCAACAGAGTCCACTCTAGTGGAGCTCATCATGAAAGGAGACCTTCAAGGAGTTAAAAAAAAACAAAACAAAACAAACCCAACCAACCCAAGAACTCCTTTTAATCACATTATCTCAAACAAACTAAAGCTATAGACAAATGCGATTACACCCACAAAAACCTGCTTGCTCCCATCCAAGAGTCCAAATACTTGTGGCTTAACCAGGGCCAGAACGTGTTGTGGAGATGGATGTGTACTTACACTCTTCCCTACTTGATAGCCAGAAAGCTCATGCAAGGGGGGATATGTCCCCCCCCCAAAAAAAAAATAAAAAATATCAACAGAAATGCCCATGTGGGAGAGAAAAGCACCTCCTGTTCATGCTGCTGAGCAGACTGGCTTCATTCCTTTTATTTATACAGAGCAGCTCTGGCACACTCTGTAATAAAAACGGATAAGGTTTCAAGCCCTTCACTAGCCCACAAAAATAAGCCGACTCTCTGCACAGGCACTGCAGGGCAAACAGCCCCAAACTTAACCCAGAAACCTCACAATAAATTTCAGCAGGGAGGGCTGCGGAGCAGGAGCAGGGGGTGTTGTTTTGTTTTGCTCTTAGAAAGATAGCCCTGTAATTTAGTGACTCAGACATTCTACATCCTTTGTTGCTTTTCATTTTCAACATCTTTAAGCTGTTTGTGGAGAACATGCTTATTTTTAGACTTTGCATCAGTGAGAGACATTTTAGCTGGTTCAGAGGGGAAAAAGCTCCATTGAGATTTTTGTGTCTGTGGTGTTAATGGACAAATTTCCTGATGGGGAAACAGCTTCTTCCCTTTTTCTTACTTTTATATCTTGCTCAGCATCTGAGCAGTGATTATCAGGCAAGAAGGGCTGTGCCCTTTGCTGCAAGTAGGGTCAGTCATATGCACCGAGGTCTGACTTGATGGAGAGAAGAGGAGGATGGCTGCAAGCACAAGCAGACACATGATGGGGCATGAAGAACAAATGGGGGCTCCAGGACTGCTGATCATCTTCCTCCCTCTTCATCAAATCTGCAAATCTTCAGCTTTGCTCTAGAAAGCCTCCATAGCATGGAGCAGGCTTTCAGCAGGTAGGTTCGAAGGAGGAAAACATCCCACAGCCAATCACCAACACTCATTTCTCCATGCTGGGGCAAAAAAAATATGAGGGTTATTTTAGGTATCTTAATGAATTCAGTTAAATTACAAAAATGGCAATGGGATTTCGGAAAATAAATGATTCCCCCACCACCACCACCCCAAAATTTGACTTTGCAAAACAGAAGATGCTTCTTGAGCAAGTTAAGAGACTTGGGGTTTGGTTTACAGCATCTAACACCTCCTCTCAGTTTACAGCTCAAAATTCTTTAAGGGAACTTGAAAAATAAAATTATTATTAAAAAGGAAATTTCAAAATGAAAACTGGCTCAGCAGCCCCTCAAGGCCAGGCTTTACTTAAAGAAAAAAAAATAAATGTCCAATTCTGCCCGCCTTTTTTTTTTTCCCCAGTTTTAATTGAGTCAATCAACAACGGAAAGGCCTCCAAATGAAAACCACACAGGCACCGAATGTCTCCAAGCCTCCAGATGTGCATTCCTCCACCTTCCACTGGCAAGCTTGAAGCAGGCACCGCTGTGCACTGGCTGCCCCATGTCACCCAGGCATGCTCCCGGCTCAGAACTGAGAGCAAGAGAGGTAGGGATGTGACATGTCCCTCTCCTCTGCATGCAAAGGATGAGAGGCGGACCCAAGCCATAGACAAAAGCATCCATGGGAGCATATATACCTGATGCTGAGCTCTCAGGGCACATCCTATGGACTCTTTGCTTTACACTATGGTGATATCTGGGGTTTACCAACACATGAACACTGAAGCAGGCAGCAGGACACTGTCCCCATGGTGTCCCCCGGCACCAACTCACTCTGCAGTGGCACACACTGGGTTTGGTCGCAGCATGGCCCTGCACCGGCTGCAGAGTGCACAGAACCAGCTCCCACACCAGGAACGGAAACTGCTCTTTGGCCAGCTCAAAGGACACATTTGTAATTTTGCTGAAAGCCTCAGTCCTAATGGATCGTTGGAAACACTCCATGGCTCGCTGGCTGCCCCTTCACTCAGGTATCACAGGCAGGTCAAAGACACCCGTTTATGTTCTGCAGTCTCCCACCGTCACAAGACTCAAGGGTACGTTTGAGGTTCGTGGCTCATGTTTAATGTTTTACATCCTGTCCACAACTCTTCCTTTCGGGGATGTATGACCCAAACCAGCACAGCCACAAACTCAGTGCAGAGGTCTCTGCTCTGCCCATTACCAGGCCACAGCTTAATGTTTGCATGAAACCAGGACTCAGCATCCTCTTAGAGGAGCTGCCACCATCTCCCCACCACATATTACCGTGCAAGACCATAGAATGGTTTGGGTTGGAAGGGACCTTAAAGTTCATCCAGTTTCAATCCCCTGCCAGCGGCAGGGACACCTCGCACTAGACCATGTCACCCAGGGCTTTGTGCAACCTGGCCTTGAATATTGCATTTACCACTTCTGGTAGGGCCTCACCACCCTCACACTAAAGAACTTCTTCCTTATATCTAAGCTGAACTTCCCCTGTTCGACTAAGATACTGCACGCTCCCTCGTACTGCCAACCTTTGCCATTTCACAGCACCCCTTAAACTCAAGGGTTTTGCTGCAACAAAAACCCCATGCAAGCAACAAGGAAACCACCAGTGAGGCTCCTGATCAAAGCCCAGAATGATGTGCCATCACGAGCACCAACTGAACAAACCAATGAAGCAGATGGGGAGCAAACCCACGGTGGACACCAAGCCAAGGTCTTGCAAAACCAGTACTACAGCCCTTTGTTCAAACACTAATGAGCCAAACTCATTGGCTGGGGAGCAGCAGCACTGAGAGGAGGTGGCTCAGGGAATGGGCTATTGCACAGCGAGAGCAAGGCATAAGGATAAATGTGTGCAGGTTGGAGGGCGAACAGTGTCAATAGGATCAATTTGTTCTATTATTTATCATGCCATATGCCCCGGCACTTGATCCACAAACCTGAGCCATCAGCTGTGAACACCTGTCAAGATTTGAGTAGTTTTCCACTTTCTGAGCAGAATAACTGAAGACATTAAGGCTTATTGAACTAGTGCTGAGCTCCAGAAACAGAAGAAGGCTTTAAAGAAAATCTCATTATATACATATATATATATAATTAATGAACGCTCTTCTGTGTTAGACTTAACCACAAAAAAAACTCCTTAGTAGACATGCTGCAGTGTAGCAACAAGGCTGGTATTTGCCAAATGCATGGTGGAGGGGAGATAAACAACACACTGTGCCCTCCTGCCTGTCCACAGGAAACCAATTCCCCATGTAGAAAGCCCAATAAAAACACAATTCTTTTACAAAAACCACATCCAATGTATATTGTTTGCCTGGGAAAAAAAATAAAATGTTGGAGGATTTGTAACTTTGAAGTCCTCCAGTGCCATCAGAACATATTTTTGCCCCCTCCCAAAGTGTCTCAAAAGTAGCAAAAAACATGAAAAAAATTAATGACTGCTAACAGCTGAAACAGATGGTCTGCTGCGAATCCCCACAGCCTCATGCAACTGTGAGTCAAGCCACTCTTCAAAATGGTGAAGAAAAATAAATTAAAAAACCCATTTCCAAGGCTACCAGGCTTCCAAAAAGCCGTTCAGGCTTCCAAAAAAAAGAATCTCTTCAGGCTTCCCAGCCAGAAGCCAGCAAGAAGGGAGGGTTTGGCTGGTTTAGACCCACAGTGGGATCAAACTCAGTGTACCCCTTGCCTTCACATCATGTGCCCTTAGTAGGTCTGGATATGTTTGTGTTCAGCACAGTCCCATGAGATGTTTCACCAGGATGAGGTTTGACCAAAGGATTTTAACTAAAGGTTCCTTTATAGTAAAAGATTCCCAATTCATGCACCCACTGCTGCTCCCCAGCACTATTTCCATTGCCCACCCTTGGCAGCATCCCTCCCACCACGCTGACTGTCCTCAGCAAGCATCCCGCCACACCAGCTCTCAGTGGTTTGAGATGAGAAAGGCACTTGCCAGGAGGGAAACTCTGGTTGCCTGCTCCTCTGCTGCGGCTCCTCCTTCTCCCCAGGAGACTCGTCCCCTCCGCCACCTTCATGCTTGGGCTGCCCCTCTCCATGCTCTTCGATCAGCCCCATGAGGCAGATGAGACGGCAGGTTCCGAGAGATGTGCGAGCTCATCATGGAGACATTAAAGCCAGGAGTGTGACTCTGTAAGGAGCAGACAAAAACTCAACTGCGTGCACTGTACCAGTTTATCATTTATTTAAACTCAATCTTTCAATAATTCATGCCAGCCTTCCCCTGTGTCGCAGGACAACAATGGCAGGAGCGCAGCAGTGCAGTGAATAACCACATCTGGAACAGATGTTCAGTTCTAAATAAAAAGCTGGGTTTGCAGAGAATGTTAAATGCCATGGGAATAGTGTGCTCTGGGACACAGGCCTGCTCCTTCCAGGGGGCAACAGCGATTTGCTCATATGTTTTGCAGCACAGAGTTGGTAAAAGTCAAATGAAAGAGCCAGGGCTGGCTCCCAGTGCAGCCCAGTAGTCATGAGAGAGCAGACCTGCAGCATCTGCAGGCATCTCCTCAGAAGAACTGGGCAGATGCTGACACAGTGCCTCTGAGCATGAATATGTGATGCCATGAGTCCTCCTGACAGCAGGAGGGACTCCATGAACACTCCAACCAGCACCAGCCTTGAGCACAATAACACAGGGTCCTTGCACACAGTCAAGAGTGTTTTCACCTCCCTCCCATGGAGGTACTGCTGCTGTACAAAGGAATAAGCTGAGTCCAGCCAGAGCTCCTATGTTACAAGTATGCGGGTGCAAGCACTCTTGCATAAGAGGAGGAGCCAGGGCCACCCATGCATTTGCCAAGAGAAATACAAGTATACCTGCAAGGCACCCACCACAAGTTCACCCACCCTCCAAAGCCCAAGATAGGGTATCCCCTTCACAAGCATCTCCTCTCCAGTTGGTACACAAGACCTCTAAGTTTGACCAATACCTTCCGCACCATGCCACTAAGCTCCTATCCATCACCAAACACCACCTGCTGCAACACTGCCATTCAAGACACCTGCAAACATTATTCCCCACCACCATGGACATACTTCTCCACACTGCCCCTTCTTTTCTGCATCCAAGACAAGCTAGAGTGCCCACTACTAGGACCCTTCATGGCTTGCACGTGGTTGACATGTCATCCCTAGTTGTGGGGGTTTGGCCCATGCCTTCAGCCACCCCACAATGTCAGCCACTATCAGGCTTTTTTTGAACAAGCATTTTATTCCTTCCCTTATGCTGGTCCTCACACATGGCCAAATGCCACTAATGATCCACACATGTACCTTGTTATCCTTCCTAAAACCACCTATATAACAGATACAAGCCTGCTGGTGCCCTGAGACATACCCTTCTTATGCCAGCTGCCAGCCTTTACCTCTCTCTTCACCCCTTCTCATCTCTCACAAGCTTTTTGGCCTTGCTCTCCTGCCACTTGGCTTTGAAGTGCTTTGAAGAAAGAACTTTCCTGCTATTTCATTTGCAATTGCACAGCACCTGATGCAAGACCAGGCTTCCAAGGTGTATTATTGCTACTACCACTGTAATTACTGACTCGCTGAGGCTCCACTTGAGCTCTTGATAAAGTCCTTCAATTTTTTGGACTACCTACCCCACTTGCCTCTGTGTTTCGCAACTCCCCCTCTTGCAGTTGGACTCCACTCTTTGTCTGGAGATTGCAAATTTACAGATGACTTTAACTGCGAATTTTCTGGCCAATAGTGTCTTGCTCTTACTCATAAATGTGACCCTTGTACCTTGCCCTGCTAAGCCAACCACTTAATGCCAATAAGAAGTTGTCTTTTTTCCTTCCTAGATAATAGCAGATTTTCCAGATTGTTTGGATAATGAAATAAGTAATGGCATTAGGAGGCCATTAATCAGTAATGAGAAGTGAATAACAGAATGCAGGACTGTCGACTGGTCCTGAAGGGCAAGCTAAGGGGAAACTGTGGGGAAATGGTGAAACCACTCAAAATCTGAGTTCTACATCTTTATTTTTTAATACTTTTAAAGTGGCTGACAATCAGTTCTTTGCACAGGGGGCTCAGACTTGTGCCAGGTAGTCTGCTGCCCAGATTAAACCCTAGTACTTAGGACATCCCCATTACATTCACAATCCTGCTGAATTTCACATACAGGAGGAACTCACTTTCTGCAACTTCTTCCACTCCTTGGTAGCTGGGCATGGAAAAGAGGGAGGAGTCCACGAGGGCCCTTCTCCACAACCCCATTAATGGTGGTGGTAGAACACAGCTGACACCTCCAGCAGGACTTTCCCCTGTGAGCTTGTTCTGACCTGAGCTACATTTCTCCAGAAGCATCCCCAGGAGGAAAGGGCTCGTTGGTTGGAACTAGCACCAGCAGTTGTCTTGCCAGCAGGTGTGTAACAGGAGATGCTAAAGCACATCTCACATAAATACCCGAGCAAAGTCACCCTTCAGAGAAAGCAGCCAGCAGGGTCACAGTCAAGAGCATGCACATTTCTATCAGCACAGAGGCCAATTTATTAGTCTTGCTGTGTATCTACACCTACAGAAAACGTGGTACCCTTGGGGCTCACTGTCTTCAATCCATATTTATAAACATCTCTCCCAAGGGACTGCTTGGCTGTGTGTAACACAGCCGATGACAGCTTCCCTCCATCTTTATGGAAGGTACCAAGAGGCATAAAGCAGGGATACTAGAAAGAGAGGCATCCTGGTTAAATGCCATCTTGAACTGCTGAGGACCCATCCCCACATGGAGCCACAAGTACTCACTCTGGAACAGAGGAGCACCAGGAATACAGCCACCTTAAAAAATCTGCTTGTCAAAAGGAAGAAGCAAACTGCTTTTTAATCCCCTGCCTAGGACACCTCGTCTGTATCCACCTTCAGCCCATCTCCCACTATGCCAGTGATGCTGTGAACACATCTCTGCCTTGGTGGCAGCCGTATCACTGAAATGGTTAAGTGGGAAAGCATTTGCAACCCAGCCCCCTCAGCTGGCCAAATGCTGCAGCGCTCCTGGCCTCAAATTTACTTTCCTCTTTTGCTCCTCGCTCTCTCGTGCCAAACGTAAGGATCTGGCCTGCTCCACAGCCCACTTTGCCAGCATGAGTGCAGTGACTCATTCAACAGCTCTTCATCACAACACATTCTTTCAATGGGACTTTGCTTTGGATGGCACTCGTCTTCAAAACCTGATGCTGGGGAAAGGCAGGTAATGCACAGACACAGGAGGCAAAGAAAAGAGGGGAGGGAACAGTGGGATTGGGGCAAAGCTGGTGGGGTTATACTCATTTTCTTTTTACTTCTCCCAGCAGATAACCAATTTTGCTAATAAGAGGAGAAAGTCAGCTCAAAGGAGAAAGAAAGGTCCTCGCATCACTTACTCAATTTTGCTAATAAGAGGAGAAAGTCAGCTCAAAGGAAGAAGAAAGGTCCTCACATCACTTATTCCATCAGGCTGACACCTCTTCATCTTGGGGAATTTAACATCTGTTACATAATTCAGAGAACATGTGGTTATTTTCCAGCCTTATTAATAGCTAAAACCCTAAGACTTCAAATGAAAATCAGCAGCTGCTCCAGACTTCACCTCTCAGAGATTTAGATGAGAGCAGGTACAATGGCTGGCTGCAGGTCAGGGTTTTCAGTCACTCCAGTGCTCCTCATTACAAGCCATAAAGGACATAGCTTGGACTGAAGCTGAGACATCTGGATTTCCAGATTTTCCTGAACACTTTTTTCCTTTCACATCTCATTTTTCTTTCCAGCGGAGGCAGAAGAAAGGATCACAGATACAAGAGATGGCTGGAAGGTGGGAAGGGACATAGTGTATCATCATCACCTTCATACACAAAACACTTTCATTCATAGGGTGCTCAGTAACATCCAAGATTACTAACACATCTTACAGCACTTTGATGTAAGGATTTTCTTCTTAGTGCATATACTGCCTTTTAAGTTGGAGAACAGGCTCAAGAAATGCACTTGGCACCCGGAGTATTGAAAAGGACTTGGGCTGTTCTGCTCCTGGTGAGAATGGAAGTACACCTCCACTCAGTAACCATAGAATGGTTTGGGTTGGAAAGGACTTAAGATCACCTAATTGCAACCCCTCTGCGGTGGTCAGGGACACTTCACACTAGACCATGTCACCCAAGGCTCTGTCCAACCTGGCCTTCAACACTTCCAGGGATGGGGTATTTACCACTTCTTTGGGCAACCTGTTTCAGTGCCTCACCACCTTAAATTCTCCCTGACAATATTTTTAGTAGGATTCAGGCTGGACAATAGCTTTGGTAATGGCGATGCTGTGGCTGAAGCAAACACGTGTACACTGCTGTTACCAAAATGCAAAACCTGCAGCTCATAAGTCATATTGTGCAATGGCAAAGGCAAAGATCCCCCACCTTTGTCATCTCCAGTCCATCTAAGCATCAATCATCTTGTCATTCACTTAATTTTCCTCAAGCAGAACCTGAATTTCAGTTTGATCCAATCCCAAAGTCATGCATGGCTTTAAGCCACGAAGAAAAAGCAAACCTGACAAAAGATGGTGACTAATGCAAACCACTTCATATTCAGGCACTTAATAAAGGCCAAGAACATTTGACAAGAAAGACTAAATTCACCAGACACCGCCGGTTGCTGCAGAGCTGATGTGGCTGTGATGGAGCACTAAGCCCCCCTGGCTTCAGACATTCAAATGAGAGGCAGGGAGCATGGATCCATCAGTCAGACGGATTCAGAAGAGCAAAGTGCATGCCTAAACTTCAGGATATTCAAAATCAGGAGCTGGTTTGGCTTCAATTATGAGAAATGCTTAAAAACTCATATATCATCCCATCAGGAAAAAACAGACAGTAAATTGTTATTTCTTCATGTCCAGTGAATATCTAATTATTTATACAGAGCAAAACAGAAGGAGAACGTAAAGGAAATCCACTCAACGACATGATACAATCCTGGAGGCAACTCAACTAGGAGGCAAGAGTCCTTGGCTTAAGATCTCTTTTCAAACTGAGTAGAGAGATGCCTTCAGCCAACACACCCCCCCTCCTGACTCACTGTTGGATCAAAGACTGGTGTGCCTCACTGACCCTAGAGGCTGCAAATCACAATCTTCATGTGGTCAAGAACCACATCTACTAT